GGCGGCGCCACGCTGTGGGTCTGGTCGGGCAGGGCCGCACCGCCGCGACCCTGACCCACTCAGACTGCGTGCCGCGGGATGGAGGTTCGAGTACCCGCCGCTTTAACTTTTCGAGTTTAATTCAACGCTCCGGGCTATTCTTCCGCCATCTCCGGTCGAGTACCTGAACGCGATGCGGACTCGCACTTTAGCCGGCCTGTTTTTCTCCCGGGTGAATACGTGGAACAGGTCACACATCACTGGCAACAACAACAACAACAACATCACCACCACCACCAACAACAACAACAATGGAAAACGTGGCTTGAACTGCCAGGCAGGCACGAAGGCAAGCGGGTCGTTTGGCTCCGCCGCTGCGCCACGCTCTGGGTGTAGCTAGCTGGGCCGTCTGGCGGGCTGGGAGGGCTGGGAGGGCGGGGACGGGGCTACTTCCGGTTCAACTTGCCACGCAGCCTCCTCGCCGAAGAGACGCCGCTGACGGGCGGCAGGCAGGCAGGGCGGATCCTGGGTGAAGCGCGGAGCGCGCGAAGCAGAGCCGGGCCGGGCCGGCCGGGCGGCGGGTTGAAGTTGCCATGTCAACAAAGACCCTGGAAACAATTTCCGCTGTTGGTACAACTGCGTCGCGCGGCGTGGCGGCGTCTTGTTTCTACCCCCCGCGGGGATACCCGCCACACCGCGGGTGGGGAAATTTCTCCGCCAAAGTTGGCAGTTGTTCTCGCGGCGCGGCGGTAATTTTTGGGCGCGGATCCCGGCAGGCCGGGCGGGGCGGAGGGGCGGCGGGGCGCGTCGGCGCGCACATGCGGGAATTTTGACGCGGCAAAGTTTTCCAGAGTGGCGGCAACTCCAACAGAAAGACAAGGACGGGGCGGGCGCGGACGGCGCGCCAGAAAAGGAGAGCCGTCGCTCCGCCAGGCCGCCAGGCCGGGCCGCGCTGGCAAATAGTTTGGAACAGCGTCTGGAATCTCGGGGTAATTGACACGCCGTGATGAGTGGCTGCCTGCAGGCTTCGCTCTGTCGTCTCTCTCGCTCCCGTGGGGCGTCCAAAGACCGGTGGGGGTGGCCAAAACTCAAGACGCGTTTTGAGCTCTAGAGTCGCTAAATGGGACTCGAACCGAACGTGTGACCCCACCTCTCCGAACGAGGAATCCATTGGTGGGGTCACACGTTCGGTTCGAGTCCCATTTAGCGACTCCGGAGCTTTCGACACTAACACTGGTGCATCGTAAGAAATTTTACCTGGTGGCGACACTGGTTGAACTGAGCAGTGCTTGCCTCTGGCGTGGCAGCGTGGTGCCCGTCTCCCGTCCCGGTGCCGCGAGTCTCTCCCGCGAGCGCTGGCGCGGATCACGGCGGTAGTTCGACTCGACGCGAGTGAAACTTGAGCCCGGCCTTCAAACACGCGTGGCTGCCGCGGCTCCAGGACGTTTCCAGGACGTCTCCAGGACGAGCTCCAGGCAACAGCCAAGTTCCCCCTCCCCTGACCGGCATTTCACAGTGCGCCGTCGTGCCTTGAGGGAATGTCAACGGGGGCTGTCTCTCGTGACACCCCTCAATACACTCGCACTCCACTTACAGTGCAGGCCGGGCCTTCCCCGCGGCTTCACAACAACAACGTGCTGTGCTGCGGGCTGGTGCCGTCTCTCTCGCACCGCTACGGTAGCGCCCCACCAGTGCGAGAGGGACAGCGACGCACAGTGAGCCAGAAGACCGGTGGACGCGGCCAAAACTCTAGACGCGTTTTGAGCTCCAGAGTCGCTGAATGGGACTCGAACCGAACGCGTGACCCCACCAATGGATTGCTCGTTCGGAGAGCAGTTCATTGGTGGGGTCACACGTTCGGTTCGAGTCCTATCTAGCGAAGTCGCTCAAAACGCGTCTGGAGTTTTGGCCGCTTGTACCGGTCGTCTGGCCCACTGTGCTGCGCTCTCTCTGGGCGGTGCAGATTCCCTGGGATTAGCCAGGCGAAATGGGACGGAATGGACGCCCGGTCGGGGCGACGTAATGCTAGACACGTTTTGAGCCGCCGTGTGCTCGAACCGGACCCGGTACTAATCGACCGCCCTGCCGACCAGGAATGCATCGATACCCTCTGGGATTCGAGTCCGATCCAGGGACATTCCAGCTCAAAACGTGTCTGGAGGTTCGTCCTGGAGGGCGGAGGAGCGCAGTCGGGCGGCGAGTCGGCGGCGCTGACGTGGTGCTGTTGCTGCTGGGCGCCCCGCCCCGCCCCGTTCCTGCCGGCTTCATATCCAGCGCCAGGCGGGGCCACAGGCAGCCAGAGGCTGGTTGGCTGGCTCATTTGTAAGGCCGGCATAAGGCCTGGCTCCGCCGCTGCGCCCGGCCGGGCCGAGCACCGCCACCGTAAGGCCACCGTGAGGCTACGTGAGGCCATTTGGCGGCGCTAGAAGCTAGAGGCGCTAGAAGCCGGAGGCGCGGCGGTAGGCCGATCCCCCACGACGCGGTGCGCAATTTCATCGTGATGAGTTCATGTTGGCACGCCGTATAACACGCGCCCCAGGCGAGGGAAAAGGGGAGGGGGGGGGGGGGAAGAAAAATTATCAGCGCCAAAACAACGCTGTGTCGCACGCGTGGCGCCGCCCTGTTTGCGCAAACGCCCCGCCTCGCCTCGCCAGCGGTGGCCCTGCTTCGGGTAGTCCAGGTGGTGTTCAATGCCACCGCACCACTCTGCGGGCTCCGCCGGCCCCCACGGTCGAGACGGTAAAGGCGCCGACTGCCAACCTTAAGAGGAAATGGTACACCTCCCCTGAAGCGGCATTTCCAACGACGCGCAGGGACCTCTTTCTAACGCCGTCCTGGCCACACCGTTCGAGATATCGATATGAAACTTGGCACACGGGCTCAGAAGGGATCAATCTCAATGACGGTGCGTTCAAAAAATTTTTTGAACGCTTAAGTTAGGCCCCAGGGCAGTCCAGTTCTGGTCCAACTTTCGTTCACAACAAGTCCTAAGAAAATAGAAATATCCAAAAAAGGGCCACGGCACGTTGTAGCTGCAACTTTGCTCTATCCAGAGAACTTGTCCCCATCTGCGTGCGGTCAAAAATAGAGATCAAAACCTGGTAGACGGCAAACCTCTGCACGGCGGGTTTGGAGGTAGTCGGAGAGAGGAGGTGCAATATTTGTGCCGACGAGCTGTACTGTCTCCAAGCCCCGCACATGTTGTCGCCGACTTTGTTTCACTGAATGGGGACTGTCGGGCTGGCCACCCTCGCCCGAGAGGTTCGGCACCGTGACAGGTCGATTTATGGCTCTAGGCTGTATGACCAAACTTTTAAAAGGAGACATTTTCTAGTTTTGAAACTTGTACGAAGAGGTTTGGCGTACTATTCTGGTGACAGGCAACTAAAATTTAAGTTTCTACGACCATTTGACCCGCACCTGTTGAAACAATGACAAAGGTCAAAATTATCGTAGAAAATTAAAATTTGATTCGCCTGGCACAAGGAACACGCGCTGAACACGATTGTTCATGTCCTGAAAGTCTAGAATCATCCGTTCAAAAATTTAACTCTCGGAGTACAAGGCCATAAATCGAGCCGTCACGCTGCCGACCCTCTGCTCCGGCGCGTGAATGAGGAGGGGGCCAGCGGGGGGCCCGGCGCAGAGACAAAGCAGCGGGCTGCAGGCGGGTCGCCCGGAGGGGTGGGCGGGGGGAGGCGGGGTTAGTAGAGCTCGTCTGCGACAGTGCCTTTTCAAAACTTCGCAAGATGTCCAAAACCGCCGTGCAGAGGTTTGCCGTCTACCAGGTTTTGATCTCTATTTTTGACCGCACGCAGATGGGGACAAGTTCTCTGGATAGAGCAAAGTTGCAGCTACAACGTGCCGTGGCCCTTTTTTGGATATTTCTATTTTCTTAGGACTTGTTGTGAACGAAAGTTGGACCAGAACTGGACTGCCCTGGGGCCTAACTTAGGCGTTCAAAAAATTTTTTGAACGCACCGTCATTGAGATTGATCCCATCTGAGCCCGTGTGTCAAGTTTCATATCGATATCTCGAACGGTGTGGCCAGGACGGCGTTAGAAAGAGGTCCCTGCGCGTCCCTGGAAATGCCGCTTCAGGGGAGGTGTACCATTTCCTCTTAAGGACCAGAGATCGAATCCCGCCATCACTCTACGATCTATAAATAATTTTATCAAATTTTTTCAGCCTTGTTGTCATTTTTTGTGTGCGGGCTCGCGGCCGCAAATGACGCAGGCCGGCCTGTGTCTATCGGCCCGCCTAGTCTAACACGAACTCGGGCAGCTCGGCCTGCCGCCATGCGGCCGCGGCACGCTCGACACGACACGACACTCGTGGGCCAATCGTGGTCGCGGTGACGTCATGCGGGGGCTTGTTGCTTGCGTTGCTTGCTGGCGGCGAGCGTCATCCTCGGGAAAGTGCCGGGCCTGGCCAGGCAGGGGGAGGAGGGTCCGTTCGATTCAGTTTGGGAAAACGGGTGCGTGGCTCTGAGCAGAGCCGTGTCCCGTGTCCGCGTCGCACTGGGCCGGTGCCACCGCACAGTGGGCCAGAAGACCGCTGGAGGCGGCCAAAAGTCCCGACGCGTTTTGAGCTCCAGAGTCGCTGAATGGGACTCGAACTGAACGTGTAACCCCACCAATGGATTCCTCGTTCGGAGAGCAATCCATTGGTGGGGTCACACGTTCGGTTCGGGTCCCATTTAGCGACTTTGGGGCTCAAAACACGTCGAGATCTTTTGGCCGCCTCCACCGGTCTTCTGGCCCACTGTGCACCGGCAGCTACAGCCACTGGCTGGGGACTGGGATCGAACAAACGACGGACACCTTTACGACCGCGGGGGAAGGGGGAGGGGAGGGGTTCGTTCAACTCATCCGCGGGGCCGCGGGGGGCCGCGGTGGAGCCCCTCGCCTGCCGCCAGTGCGGCCACCTCTGCAGTGCGGGGGCGGTTGCTGGAGTAGCCCTATCAAAACGCGGACGCTGTGGTGAAAAATAGGACAGAGTATCCGCAATGAAGTTCGCCTTTTAGTTTTACAAGATGTATTTGCAGAAAACCCTCAGAAAATACATAAAAAAATGTTTCGTAGAAAAAAAAGCGAAAAAGCGTCTTGGGTAACAACAATCAAATTTTACAGGTACATTTTAAGGACAAGAAACATCGCTGGTTATATTGTTCGCAAGTCTCATTCTCAGAAAAAAATTAAGACCATCTGAAATTAAAGGTTTGAAAAAAGGCGATAAAATTTTAAGATGACTGTCATTTTGGAAAGGTATATTTCCTTAAAATGCCCCAGAGGGAGACACAGGATAAACATCTTATAGAATAGAAAACAAAACAACAAACAAATAAAATTTGTGGGAAAAGGAGAGAAGCAAACAGGAACCAAGAAAGATCTTTTGTTTAAAAAAAAACATTTAAAAAAATTTAAATATGTTACTCAGTTGGCCGGAAGTATTGCATTGTCTCTTTTAACTTAGCATCATAAAGCTTAACATAATTACTGTAAGGACTACTGATTGTTGTTTGAAGAGATGCAAAACTAAGTTTTTTGTTTAACAATCTCTCCAAAGCCTTTAGGTTGTCTAAATAAACTGGTGGGTACTTGACATTTAAAATAAAGAAGAACGCCAGTAGAGATGAACATACATCAAATGCTGAAGCTAAGTACTTCTCCATCACTATTCTGTCTCGGAATGTTACCATTAGCTTTGAAATGCGGCCTTCATCATTGGTTAGCACTACAGCACATGGAACCTCAGTGCTGCGGAAACTAAAGTCTCCGTCATTAAATGCTGCCATTTGCTGAAATGTACAAAGTTCAAGTGGAATTACTAAACAAAACACAACACAGCGTGGAAACTAGGTGAAGGTTAATGCTAAATAACTCACGTGTTTGATCACAAACAGAGGTTTGGTGTCTGGTCTTGGATGCCTCTGATTAAGGAAGTGCTCCTGAAGCTGTACCAAAACTTGAACTCTTCTTAAGTCTTCATTAGTAGAAGGTAATTGTGAAGATTCCCAAAACATTTTTGTGAGGACTAAAGAACCCTCATCAAAGTTCTCTCTCAACTCTTCTATACTAATTCCAACTACAAGGGAGTACTCATGCAACAACTGTAAACAAATCATTATTGTGATAGAGACACAATTAATTAAAAACCATTTTGATATAAAACTGTTGTAAAGCACATACAGTACTAACCATTTCAAAGTTACTTAAATGTCTATAGGTTTCAAGGAACATTAAAACATCAAAGCCAGGAGAAGAGACTGCCTTTTTTCTCAGGTTAAAACTTTTTTCTATAAGGTATTGTATCTGATCTGGTTTAATATCACAATCAGGGTTGGCCAGCTCTTCATCAGCCATCCTCATTTCCTCATCCATCGTATTTTGAGGAGGGTGGTGGAACCTACTACATACACATCCATGAGTTCTTTTCATTTCTTACCCTCATTTTTATTAAAAATTTAAAACAAATTGAAAAATGCAATACCTAAGTTCATTGGCTTGAGGGCCTGGTTGTTGCATAGCCATTGCCAATGACCGTTTTTTAAGCCTATTGGGCTTTTTGTTAAGTTCATAGCTCCTTCTAGCACGAAATGAGGCACTCAAGGATTTTTTGAAGCGGTCCTTAAATCAAGAAAAAAATTAAGTAGCTTAATATTAAAATCCTTCAAAGAGCTTTTTTTTTTGTAGGTATGAGAATGAGATACTTACATATCCATGATCAGTATCTGGGTCTTTTAATGAGGGGAAAGCTAGAATCATTTTTAGACAAAATATGTCATACTCCTTTTTAGTTGGATACTCATCACCTGTGACAGCCACAATATGTGCCTTACAGGTTGGAAGTACCACTGTCATTCTTGGCGCAGGCTTTGCAAGCTCTGCTAAGACATCAGGAGCAAAATCAGGTAAAGGTGTGTCAGATGTCAGGCGTTGTCCTTCAGCTCTTACTTTCTAAAAATGAAGAAAACAAAAAGTATGAACAGAAACATTTGTGAATTGGAGCCCCTTCATCAAATACACCTCTGATCGATCAAACAGAAAGCCAAACCAACCTTTACAGCTCTGCGCCTCCTTTTTATGTTGGGCCTCGAGCCACTGAGATCACTGGCTTCTGAATCGCTATCTTCTTGCCATCCGCTCTCAGAGAGAGACCTCTGCATGTCTCTTGAATGCTCATCATCTTCTGACCTATTCCCTAAAGTTGAATTGCTTGTTGATGGTTGTGGGCAAAAATCTAATTTGCTAGCATCAACACCAAGAGGAAGTGATTCACCTAAGGTAGACATCCTAGAAAAAAAATTAAAAAGGACATGTTTATAATTTGAGTAAGATTGACAAGAGCAATAAATATAAAATTTACTCACCACATATTGCCAGACCTTTTGACCATTCTACTTGGCTTTATATTTTTCTCGTAGCTTCTCCTAGCCCGAAAAGAAGCACTCAATGATTTTTTAAAGCGTTCCTGCAACAGTGATTGGTTTTATCACTATTTTTGATTAAAGTTACGATGGCAAAATTGGATTGCTGTAAGGACTTCATTACTCACATAACCATGGTCAGTGTCTGGGTCTCTCAGAGATGGGAAAGCCAAAATCATTTTTAGGCAAAATATATCATATTCTTTTTTGGTAGGGTATTCATCACCAGTTACTGCAACTATGTGAGCTTTACAAGGTGGAAGTACAACATTCATTCGTGGTGTTGGCTTCAATAACTCTTCTAGTACATATGAGGAAAAGTCCGGTAAAGGAGTGTCAGATGTCAGACGCTGTCCTTCCTCTCTTGCTTTCTGCATTGAAGTATTAATATTTATTTTAAATAAGGCATTCAGATGTTGACAAAAAAGTCCAAACCAGTTACAAAGTCTATCTACTTGCCTTCACAGCTCTTCTTCGCTTCTTTGAAGGTGTGTGACTTTCTGAAGTGACACAGTTGTTCTGTGTAGCATTTTGAAAGTCTAGGGAAGGCTGCTGGCTTCCCTCTGAGTCATCATCGTCATCGTCATCATCAGATTCAAACTCGTTATCACTCTTGACGTTATCACTAGATGGTCCTGACAACATAATTCACATCATACTATGGTGTCCTAGCATACCACTTGCCATTGGATAAATGATTGGTGACCAAGAATATTAATTTAATTCATTAAATAAAACCAAAAATTACCAATTTGCCAGTTTCCTTGAGCTATTGGCAAGGCGTTTGCTTGAGAGCCATCAAACATGCTGTGGTTTGACCATTCGTTTCCGGAGAAAAATTCTTGTGTGCTTTGAGAACAGTCACCCGTTGATTGGTCACCCAATCTAAAATGAAGCGCACTGTGGTGAGATTTTTCTGTCCCATGTACAAGTAAGCACAATGAGTTTTAAAACCTAACAAACACACATGTACCTCGTTTCATCCTGCACACCAAGAGGGTCGCTGAAAAGCTCCTGTTCCTGACATATTCCGATATTTGTATTGGCTTGACTCGATAAGTTAGGTTGTGTTGCCTTGATGCTGTCGCTGACAAAGTCATAGGAAACATAATAAATGAAGTCATGATTGGAAGATGATACATCCATATCACAGGTCCATTATAAGAGAGATAGACCAAACGTTAGCTTGCAAGCTAGGGACAGCTTTCGTGAATCAAATAAGTTTACAACGCAGTTTGCGCACAGATAGGTAGGGCTGAAATTGTTCTTACCTTGAGCCCACCAAGTACTGGCAAGCTAGCTCATTCCTTGCATTGATCTCATAATCGTTCTGTGTTGGTCCAACCAGCTTTGAAGAGTTGATTCTACCCAGCACACCACAATTTTCACATTCCAAAACAAGTTTGAATCCAAGTCCACACATTTCTGTCACTGAAAACGTCACAATTCCGGAGCATATCCTGCATTTGACAAGCAGACTGATTTGCTGGAACACGGGTTCATAGTCTATGATAATGTAACCCCCGCAAAAGCCGCTTTCAGAGGAAAACTGACAATTGTTGTCATTGTATGACACACTTGCGGAGGTTAGACTTTCGGGAGGCTTTTTGGTTGGAGAGAAAATAGTCTCTATATGATACTTGGTTCTGCTCCTTTTCCACTCCTTGCTGGACATGGTGGCACAACTCGCGTCCATCAGTGAAAATTCAACTAAAAACACAGTCACTGAAAGGAAAATAAACTTTGGCAGCCGGCTGTCTGTCAAGCTGAAGTAAATAAACAGAACGGCAACTGTTTTCTCTTTCTCAGAAGTCGATCAGCTGGCGACGGTGACGGTGACATTCTCCGGCCTTCGAGTTCCTCAAACTTGCATCATGTCATCAAGCCGTCAACAGGTAAGACGGTTCATTCCGCTTTCTCTGACAGCTCGTCTTCGCTACAACACTTGTCATTTCGCGATCAGCTTGAAGCTTGAAGCGCGCTGTCCACAAAGCACAAAGGTTGGGGTTAGGTGTCGGGGGGCTAACTTACGATGCCCTGTTTGACTCGGCACGCGCCGCGGCAACCGAAGCCAACGCAACGTCTTCGGGAAAGATCGAAGCGTAAAATTAGCGAATACTGAGAAAATGACGATTATTTATTGAGTGCAGCAAAGTTTCCCGCGCGAAGTCCGCAGGCTACGGTAAAAACATTGGGCCGGCTCTACAATGAGGCAGCTGCCGCCGTGCCGGGTAGGCAACCCCTTCGACTGGACCAGCATCCCCGCTGCAGTACACAAAGTCGGTGATTTTGTCTTTCGTCCGAATGGATTTATTGTTCCAGTACGCCCCCCCCCCTCTGCCTTGAAAATGGTTCGAAACCCCTTTAGAAATTTAAGTGGCCGGTGGCGCGGAAGGGCAATCAGAGGAAACTATGCCGAACGCCGGCGAGCGGGGCAAGCGGGGCGAGCGGGGAGCAGGCTGAGCGAGCACCCGTCTAATAATTTGGTTTCTCTGGGCTGGGCCTTGCCGGCCTTGCCCGTGGGTTTCATTATCGCCGGCAAGATTTACCGAGCGGACCGAGCATACATCCGGGGCCGTCGCCTGGCCTAACCTGACCTAACCTAACCTAACCCGACTTAACCTAACCCGACTTAACCTAACCCGACTTAACCTAACCTGACCTGAGCCAAGCTGGGCCAAGCTGGCGCAGAGCTAGGCCTCCAGGACGTAGACCCGATCCCGGCGGTCCCACGGGAAATGTCAGCTCGGCTCATGCTGTGTATGCATGCATACCAGGCCAGCCTAGGCCAGCCGTGCACGGCCGGCCCATATATACCACGACCTTTGGTATTGGAGGACGGAGAGGGGGAGAGGAGGGGGTTGGCGTCGCCTGACCTGACCCAACCCCCTGCGCGCGCGCCTGCAGTTCAGGGCAAATCGTGACAACGTCAAAAAAAAAAAAGTAGCGATATACATCGGCAACTTTGGCCCGTCCCGTACATTAAGAAACGTACGAATTTCGCCTATGTTTGACCCTGACGGGAATTAAACCTGAGTCTGGGGTTAAAATAAATGTCGTTTTCGTCATCAGCACCCTCGAAAACATCAAAAACAATGCAAAAACTCGAATAAAAAGAATGTTCAAAAAATACTCCGCTGGGATTTGAACCCGGGTCCGAAGTTTTTCGATTCGCTCGAAACTGGCACCATTGGTTTTCTCTCGTCGCCCCGATTCCAAAGATACCCCTACATGCCCTCCTAGCTGCATCCGTTGCCGAGATCCTCCTCGACCCCATGTAGACCATGATGCACCTGCAGCAGCGCCCCCGGGGCTCGGATCGGATTTGCTGCCACCGGGCGGTTCTTAGGGTCACCCAAGGAGGCTGCATACCAAATTTGGTCAAGATCGGACCACGGGAAGTCCTCGGACGGACGGACGGACGAACGAACGGACGCACAGCAGGGATCATACTATATGCCCGTCCCTCCGTCATTTTTTTACAAAAAATAAACGGGACGGGCCAAAAAAAGAAAGTTTGTACACACGCGGTATTTGAACCCACGTCCTGGCAGATGCGGTCCACAACTCCTGCTGCACTGTGATCTGCCGCTGAGACAGGATCGATCTGTGTGGACGCTCACAGAAAAAATGAAGTGGCGTTATAGCGCATTTGAAAATGTTGACACTTTGTTCGCAGTGCAGGACGAGAAGTGGGAAGCGCTCTGGAATTTCACGGGCCGGGTCGCGGCGTCGCGGAGGGTGTCGCTTGGCGTGCCACGGTCGTTTTTCGTGGAGGCGCGGCGCGGTGGGGCGCGGCCCTTCTGGAGAGGGTCTGAGGGCTTCCCTTCCGCAGTGGTGCAGCGCGGTGCGGCGGGCAGGGCGGACAGGGCGGGCACGCACAACTTTGCCAAACTAATTTTTAAGTGGTGGGTGGCACGTAAAGAGGTGCAAAGCTGTGCCTCTGTTGCGGCGCCGCCGTGTTTGCGACGCCGGTCCCTCTCTCTCTCTCTCTCTCTCTCTCTCTCTCTCTCTCTCTCTCTCTCTCTCTCTCTCTCTCTCTCTCTCTCTCTCTCTCTCTCTCTCTCTCTCTCTCTCTCTCTCTCTCTCCCTCTCCCGCTTCCGGCCCTTGCTGCTCGAGGCAGGACTTCCCCGGGGACTGTGCGACTCAAGCCTACCGTATTGGTGGAGGCCTGCTTCCCCTGCTGGCTGCTTGGCTGAGGCAACTCCCTGCGAGGGACTGTCCCTACCTCTCCCCCCCCCCCGATCCCGCTCCCCGCCAATCCTCGCCCCGATCCCCTCCCCTCCCCCCTTCCCCTCCCCCGCCCCGCGACCGCGTTGACCTAGCCAGGCTGGGCCGGACCTGCCCCATATACATAGGGCGGACTGGACCTGGGGGAACAAACTCCGAGGTGCCGCCTTCCCGAGTAGGCCCCCCGGCCGGGCGGCCGGGCAGGCCGACCCGGGTCCACTTTGCCTTTCAAGGACAGCTGTGCATTGGGCCGGTCCGCGCTAGCCGCGCCCTGCCCTGCAGGCCGAATCCGGGGAGCCACCCCGTCGCCCTGTCTCTCTCGCGCCCGAGCGGGGCGCCCCGCGAGAGCGACAGGGACAGAGCGAGGAAGCGTCTTCGGAGCGCGCCTGGCCGCCAACAGCGATGGGGCGGCGCCGCTGCCGCCACGGTTTGCCTCGCCTCGCTGCGAGCCTCGCTGGAACTAAACAACCCGTCTCGGTGCCACTGGAGCCTAGCAGTGGCCCGGCCCGGCCCATGGCCCAGGCCGTCCGACCAGGGAATGCTATACTTTGAGGCGCGGCGCAGTGCCGACCAATGGGAGCACAGCGCGCCAAAGTTGGGGCGGGGCCGCCGGCTGAAATCGTCATTACGGCGTGCCAGCCAGCACGGCCAGCACGCTGCCAGTGTAGGTGACCCACGAGACCAAAGTCCCGCGGCCTTGCCCCGCCTCGCCTTCCCTTTCGGCCTTTCGCCTGCCTTACCTGCTGTACCTGTGTTTATGAGGCCTGAAGGAGGCTGACGGCGTGGTCTCGGTGCGGCCTTGGCCGAGGCCACGGCCTTGACGGCGTGCTGCACAGGCAATATCGCGCGTCGCGGCGACGGCGGCAACGCAACACCAAACGGCAGTGTGGGGCGTCGGGACCACCCCCTCCCCCTCCCCCTCCCCCCTGACTGCCTCAGGTGTGTGCCGAGTCGCGAATATCGGAGCAGCTCACGGTGTCGCCGTCCCGGGTAAACACAGGCGCTTGGCTGCTATTTCCCAGTGCAATCGCAGACGCGGAGGAAGCTGGCGCAGACTTAGACCAACTGTCGAATGAACGGCACTCGCTGAGAATGTTGCCAGCTTTTTCTGATACGTATCGGTGCGGTGGAGGTGGAGGCGGCCAAAACTTCAGACGCGTTTTGAGCTCCAGAGTCACTACATGGGACTCGAACCGAACGTGTGACCCCACCAATAGATTCCTCGTTCGGAGAGCAATCCATTGGTGGGGTCAGACGTTCGGTTCGAGTCCCACTTAGCGACTCTGGAGCTCAAAACGCGTCCCGGATTTTGACCGCCTCCGCCGGTCTTCTGGCCCACAGTGAGCCAGCCAGCAGCCGCACTGAAACGTATGATGACGTCGGCTGGCCGGGGTGAGCTCGACCACAGCACTCTAACGGCGTTGTGCGCAGCGCCACAGCGTCGGGGCGGCAAGGCTGCAGACTGATTCCGAGAGTCGTTTCCATCGCTCTGTCTCTCTCGTGCTCACGGCGCGTCCCCTGCGGGTGCGAGAGAGACAGAGCGAGGAAACGACTGTCGTCTGCTGGCCAGGCCGGGCATTAAGCGGACCAACCAGTGGCCCTGCGTATAGCCGAAGCCTGCAAGCCTGCAAGCCGGCCCGGCCGGGTGAAGTGGCCGGACTGAACGCCAGGCGGGGCGCGAGGTAAGGATGCGCCGGGCAGGTTGTTTTAATTAAAACTGCTCCTCCTCCTCCCCCCTCCCCCTCCCCCTCCCCCTCGACCCTCCCCTCCCCCCTGCCCCTCCCCTCCCCCTGCAGTCGTTCCGCCACTCCGCCAGACACACTCTGCGGACAAACACACACAGTCACGATCGGGTTGTGGCCGCTGGTTTATGTGAACGAGAGGTGCTCGTGGAGCCATCGCCCCCTAGATTCATTACGCGGAGCGAAAAAAAGAAGAAGGAAAAATTGGCCGTAAAAAGCGCAGGCAGGCCCGGCGGCGGCGGCGGGTCGCACCAAATGCAAATTAAGACTCTCATGTCCGTTATGGGCCATCACTGTCCGAGCAACGCGCCGCGACGCGCTGCGGGGGGGCGTCGACCCGCGCAAACGGAAACCAGGAAAACACCCATGTTCTTTTTTTCTCCCTGCGGAAACCTTGAAACTGTACTCATGTTCGACAATTTTGCGACGACGAGACATGAGTCACGATTCGGGGAAATTCGGCGACAACAAGGAGGCGGGAGTTGTCGGTTTGATGGTCGTCGTGTTGGACGTGGTGGCCGCGGACAGCACAGTCGTGTCGAAGTGCACTGCCTACACTCTAAATGTAGGGTGCCCAGTAACTGGGCGCCTTTGTCGCCCGCCCCACTTTTTAGGGTGCCAAATGTCGCCCAGTTTCTGGGCACCTTTGTCGCCCAGTCTCGAGGTGGACAAACCATTAAGGAACCTGCCTCCACCCATGGACCAGCAGCGACTGAGGTGCCAAAGGTGCCCAGAATCTAGGCACCTCAGTCGCGCAGGAACTAGACACCTGAACATGTTCTACCCTGGGAGAGGGCCGGTTACTGTATGATTTGTCCACCCCGAGACTGGGCGACAAAGGTGCCCAGAAACTGGGCGACATTTGGCACCCTAAAAAGTGGGGCGGGCGACAAAGGCGCCCAGTTACTGGGCACCCTACATTTAGAGTGTAGCACCGCCTTGTCGTGGCCTAGCACCGCCTTGTCGTGGCCTAGCACCGCCTTGTCGTGGCCTAGCACCGCCTAGCACCGCCTCATAGCGACCCACCAGCCATTCCTGCCAGGACTCTCCACCATGGCGTCCGTCAAACTGCTTCTCGTCTTCGCCCTGCTGTGCCTCGCAGTGAGTAGACAACACCCCTAACCAACTTAAGATTTTCATGTATACACTGATTTACTGAATTATTCAAATTACAGAGATATTGATTACATGTGACTAGTTTTGATTTACAAATATCACCGATTGCGGGAAATTTTAGACGATTTTGTGGATTATTAGGGATTATTTGAGATTATTTGAGGGCCGTCTTCGGAAAGCTGTCAAAGTGTTGGAAATCCAATACGGCTGACTTTGGCCGGCCACTGCATCCAATCTAGCTGCGGTCAAAGGCCTCCCTTCTGGACACTTCGACACTGGTGGATGGTGGGGGCTTTCGCGGACTGATGTGGCAACATGGTTGGCAGGCCGCGATGGCAGGTGGACCTGGCAGACCTGATGTTGGCCCACGTGACCTGCGTCCACCCAGGATAGACGGCCTGCGGGGTCCACGCGGCCTAGAAGGCCAACACGGCCCACCTGACCGACATAGCCCACCCGGACCACACGGCCGACGCGACCCAGACAGACGACCCCGCCCAGACGGCAGACCTGGCCCCCTCGGCCCACCCGGCCGCCATAGCCCGAATGGCCGACCCGGGGGCCGACCCGACGCCCGACCCGACGCCCGACCCGACGCCCGACCCGACGCCCGACCCGACGCCCGACCCGACGCCCGACCCGACGCCCGACCCGACGCCCGACCCGACGCCCGACCCGACGCCCGACCCGACGCCCGACCCGACGCCCGACCCGGCGGCCGACCCGGCCCGCGCAAGTACACTGCGGCGGAGGAACAATTCGCAAAGACGTTCCTCCACGTCCACGCCATGTCGCTCGAGGACCGCAAACGTGTGCCACTGCACATCAGTCAATAAACAAAGATTCCCTCTCGGTTGCAGCGTGTCCATTTTTATTCCACACTTCTCGCCTGGAGTTCTCGTGATTTCCTTCCCCCGATCTCCACCCATGACTTCTTGAATCAAGAAAAAATTTAACTTTTCTTGTGTTTTATTTTTTTTTTAAAGAAAAATTTTCTGGATTGAAACTTTGTTTTCTTGTAATAATAAACATTTTCTTGCGTTAAGATTTTTTTCTTACAAAAAATAACGAGAAAATTAAAAATTAATTTTAAGGTGTGCGTTCGGTGCGTTTGCAGTAACCCTCTGCTTCCAGGCCGCTGCAGCAGCGCCGGGCATTTGCTTCGGCCGCCCGGTCCGGCCGTGCCCCGAGCCCAAGGCCAGCCAGCACAAGGCCATCAAGGCCGCCAAGCCCAAGGCCATCAAGGTCCCCAAGGCCACCGTGTACGAACGACGCACTGGCGGAAAGATCACACACATTGACCCGCCGCCGCCACCGTCGCCGGTCCGCCCCGTCGGCATTGGCGGAAAAATGGTGCCGCTGGACGAATTCGCCAAGAAATTCGGAGGCAAATGACGGATAATGAATTCCACACCACAAAAAAAAGTTTATTTAAAATGACGAAAACTGTTGTAGTCATTTTGAACTGACCTTCGTGTACTCTCTTAGTCGGTTACTATCGTCGAAACTTGAGTTAATTCAATTAAACGATTTTACAGTGTGATACGGTGCCAAGAAGACTTCGTTCTTGTCCCTAGAAAACAGAATAAAAATGACAAGAACTTTCACTTTACTATCCCATTACAACAGCGAAAGTTGCCGGGAGTACTGATTTTCTAAGGCCCTTTTAGCTCTGTTTTCCGACCTTGTACTTAGAGCTTCCCTGCAAGCCACCGTGACACCCCCGGCAGGAGACGCATTAAAAAGTTAGCTACCGGGCTGGCGGGGCTGGCGGGCTAGGCGCGTTCCTTTGCAAATGTATCCATTTTCCAGCTCGACTGATGAAAGGTTCGAGGCTGGCGGGGCTGGCGGGCTAGGCGCGTTCCTTTGCAAATGTATCCATTTCCAGCTCGACTGATGAAAGGTTCGAGGCTGGCGGGGCTGGCGGGCTAGGCGCGTTCCTTTGCAAATGTATCCATTTTCCAGCTCGACTGATGAAAGGTTCGAGGCTGGCGGGGCTGGCGGGCTAGGCGCGTTCCTTTGCAAATGTATCCATTTTCCAGCTCGACTGATGAAAGGTTCGAGGCTGGCGGGGCTGGCGGGCTAGGCGCGTTCCTTTGCAAATGTATCCATTTTCCAGCTCGACTGATGAAAGGTTCGAGGCTGGCGGGGCTGGCGGGCTAGGCGCGTTCCTTTGCAAATGTATCCATTTTCCAGCTCGACTGATGAAAGGTTCGAGGCTGGCGGCCCCGGCGGGGCGGCAACTCGGCCAAAGTGCAGCGCAGCCGCCAGCCCGAGCTGGCAGGCAGGCAGGCAGGGCGTAGGCGGTGGGGCCTAGGGGAGCTGGCGGGGCGAGCATTGACGTGACCTGACACCGTTCGAAACACTTTTGAAGGTCGCGGCGCCGCCCGGCCTGCACGCCAAGTACCCGGAATGTCGCGCTGTCTCTCTCGCACCCACGCGGCCCGACGGCGCGCCGCACGAGAGCGAGAGAGACAGCCTCGGCATCAGCATTCCGCGTCGCCGCGCGTTGTTGGCCGTTGCAGCCAGCTGGAGCCTCGGCTGGAGCGGAGCCGCTTTGCAGCGAGCCATGACGCAATAACCGAACCAGCGCCATTTCCGGATTGTTTTCACCGAAAGCCAAAAACAGCGTCGCGAACTGTTTGGAACGGCATTCGGGCAATCTCTCCGGTGCGCGGCTCCACTGCGGTCCCACACTGCGTGCTCTGTCTCTCTCGCACCCACACGGAGCGGCGCCACACTGTCTCGCGAGAGCGAGATGGAGCGACGAAAGCACTGTTCGGAATCAGCCTGCTGGAAGCCCATGCGACTGTCTCTCCGTCTCTCTCGCACGCACGGGGTGGCCCGCAAGGGAGCGAGAGAGAGAGAGAGAGAGAGAGAGAGAGAGAGAGAGAGAGAGAGAGAGAGAGAGAGAGAGAGAGAGAGAGCCGCTGCGCCACGGAATCCTCTGACGAACGGGGCGGGCACGGCGGGCAACGGCGAAGCGCACTTTTGTTATTGTTTGAAAGTACGCGACGGGTTTGGCGAGCCGAACGGGATAAGATCTCTCTTTACGAGGGAACCGCAGCGGAACCGCAGGGAAGCGCCGGCCCACTACGCGGGAAAGCCAACACACACGCAGACAGACAGACAGACAGACAGACAGACGGACAGACAGACAGACTGACACACTCACATACAAACAGGTCACTCACATGAAGCCAGACCGAGGCACGAAAAAGGATTAACGGTTAACCGACATGGATTGAACTCAGCGGCCGCCTAAAGTCAGCCGAAATCACGACCGACCTCCACCAGTCTGACTGACCAAGCTTCAGTCCAGCGGTTCTCAACCTGAGCGAGTCGCGACCGTCGCAAAAAAAAAAAAATCTTTTACGCGATAGTTTTTGGCGCCCTTTTTAGGTTTTTAAGGCGGAGGGCGGGTATATCTAGCCTTTAGTAGCAATGGTAATGGCGGGTAGGCAACGCAGTGTACACTTTCGTCGAGCGTGTTGCCTACCCGTGGTTGCGCGGGCGGCGGTGGCGCCGTGAGCCCCCAGTCCCAGTTCTTAGCGCTCTTTGGCCGTGGTCGTGGGCTAGGCGTGGGGACGCCGCACAGCGGGCCAGAAGACCGGCGGAGGCGGTGAAAATCCCGATAACGCGTTTTGAGCTCCAGAGTCGGAGGGACTAAAACCGAACGATGACCCCGCCAATGAGTTGCTCCCCGAATGAGGAATCCATTGGTGGGGTCACACGTTCGGTTCGAGTCCCGTTTAGCGACTCTGGAGCTCAAAACGCGTGTAGATTTTTGCACTGTGCGCGCCGCCACGCCGCGCGAGACGTCTCCGAGGCGAAGCAGCCCAGCGTTCCGCTTTGTTCTGTTATTCCCCGATTGAAAGTTAAAGATTCAGGTCAATTCCGGCAGCTTTCGGCCGCTGTCCGGCATCTTTCCGGCATCGATAAAACATCGCCGGCCAAGTCGGGGCCAAAGCGGCCAAAGTAGCCGATGCATTATTTTGTAGTTGCAGTGGCCGGTACTCTCGGGTCTCTGGTTCGAGCGCAGCAGCACCTTGCTTTCTTCAGATATGGACTTGCATCAAACCCGCCCTTGATTGGTCTCAGAGGGAAAAACGGTTGCATTGGTACAGCATTTGCTTGAATCGCGTCCTGAGTCCTTTCAAGAAAGGTACCGTCCACTGTGAGAGAAAAGGACGGAAAAAGGACGGAACATGTCTGGTCAATAATTTGCCTGGACCAGCGGTTCTCAACCTTTCTCGGCTCGCGACCCCAAATTTGTAGCCAAAAATTTCCGCGACCCCCAGGAAAAGTTTCGCGACCCCACGGGACCCCTCCTTTAGCATGCCACTGCGTCTGATCCGAGGCGGGCATTTTGCTCCCTCAACGGGCAATTGGTCTTTGGACCTTCCTTTAGCATGCCTCTGTTACGGAGTGCGATTATCAGTCTTAGTTTGGGAGCAGTATTGTCTCAAAGTTGGCCAAAACGCTCAGAAATGTCCTTAAAAAAATCATGTTTTGGGTCGATTTTAAGCAGCCACTGCGTCTGATCCGAGGCGGGCATTTTGCTCCCTCAACGGGCAATTGTTCTTTGGACCTTCCTTTAGCATGCCTCTGTTACGGAATGCGATTATCAGTCTTAGTTTGGGAGCAGTATTGTCTCAAAGTTGACAAAAACAGGCACAACGATTTTTCAAAGACATTTCTGAGCGTTTCGGCCAACTTTGAGACAATACTGCTCCCAAACTAAGACTGATAATCACACTCCGTAACAAAGGCATGCTAAAAGAAGGTCCAAAGACCAATTGCCCGTTGAAGGAGGACGAAATACCGCCTCGGGTCAGACGCAGTGGCTGCTTAAAATAGGCCCAAAACACGATTTTTCAAAGACATTTCTGACCGTTTCGGCCAACTTTGAGACAATACTGCTCCCAAACTAAGACTGATAATCACACTCCGTAACAAAGGCATGCTAAAGGAAGGTTCAAAGACCAATTGCCGGTTGAGGGAGCAAAATGCCCGCCTCGGATCAGACGCAGTGGCTGCTTAAAATCGGCCCAAAACACCACCCCAGCTACCTCGCCGCGACCCCTTAAAATTTTTTCGCGACCCCACTTGGGGTCGCGACCCTAAGGTTGAGAACCACTGACCTGGACCGTCCGTACCTGGCAACTACGGAACGTTCCGTACTTTTTGGCCCGTCCCGTTTATTTTTTGTAAAAAAATGACGGAGGGACGGGCATATAGTATGATCCTTGCTGTGCGTCCGTTCGTCCGTCCGTCCGTCCGTCCGTCCGTCCGAGGACTTCCCGCGGTCCGATCTTGACCAAATTTGGTATGCAGCCTCCTTGGGTGACCCTAAGAACCGCCCGGTGGCAGCAAATCCGATCCGAGCCCCGGGGGCGCTGCTGCAGGTGCATCATGGTCTACATGGGGTCGAGGAGGATCTCGGCAACGGATGCAGCTAGGAGGGCATGTAGGGGTATTTTTGGAATCGGGGCGACGAGAAAAAACCAATGGTGCCAGTTTCGAGCGAATCGGAAAAGTTCGGACCCGGGTTCAAATCCCAGCGGGGTATTTTTTATACATTCTTCATTATTCGATTT